TTCCCCAGGGTTCTCGCCCGTTGACAAGATTGTGACACCTTCCTAGTTTATTAACTTTATTTGAAAATACGTTTTTTCTAAATAACTCGGCCGCTTTTTTAGATTTTTAATGTTTTTCTTTTGGAAACAATAGATAAAATGACGAACTTAAATTTTGTCAAATAAAAGAAAAAACGATTTTTTTGGCCTCTGAAGGTGGGAAGTAACCTTAAGACGAATTATTAAAATCGAGCTAACTCTTTTTTTGTGTAAAAGGATGGTTAAGAGCGTTTCCGTAATAACACGAAAGAGGAGAAGAAACAAAACAGGAAAAAAAAAAAGAGGTTACATACCTGAGTCGGAGCAGGTAAACTCCGGCGGGAAATAATCTGGATCATCCTCTATCAATAATGCCGCGAAAGGCACGATCAAAAAACAAACCAGGACTATTATCCTTAGCATTTTTGGCATGATTAATTATTTGATTTCTCCAATATCCGCGGAAAAAGATTACGTTAAGAAACTTTCAACTTGTGCGAAGCAAGCATTTCGGGTTCTGAGAACTTACGTCATAAATGGCTCACTTTATGACGCATGTTTCGAATGCCGTTATATAAAAATCGTTTCTTTAATGCACATTATCTCAACTGGGATAGCAAAAGTATTGAGGCCACGAGATAAAAGCATTGATAAGCAAGACTGAAACCTAGCGAACACCCTTAAATTAACGCAGTTACTGGTAAAACTCTGCTTTTCGTAGAGGTTTTTTTAGATATTTTTAACGCGCGCGCACTTTTTCTCGAGTGCGAGCAAGATTTTGAAACTTAGGGCCCGTTACAAGGAGAGAGGGTTACCCTAGCAAGCGGGTTACCCTGGTAAGCGGGTTACCCTAGCACTCACACATTTCCTCTTGTTTTTCTTCGTCGTGTTTACAAGGCAGCTAGGGTTACCCGGGTAGGCGTTACCCTATCTGCGTGCTAGGGTTTCCCTGGCAGGCGGGTTAACTTTTTTTTGAGTTTGCGCAACTCAAACCATTATCTTACTTTCCAGACATAACCTCAGTTCTTATTACACGTTCATTTGATCTGCCAACGGAACTTCAATATATCGCTGTCCTTTCGGGGTTTTTTCCAGATCTCCCAGCAAAGTTGTAGTAGTTTTAAAGAAACTTTTTCTATATTCTCCAAACTCACTCGCACATGTCATCTCGTGTTGTCCTGTGTTGACCTTTTCATGAAGTCACGCAATCAAATCGTAAATAACAGACCGAAAAACGACAAATCGCCATCGCCTAAAACATTGAAAATTCACCGAGTAATAATAACTATTAGCCTGCTCTTTTAAAGCCTGCGACGGGATTAGAGGTAAGAACGGTCAAGAATGCTTTCCGCAGGCCAGCCCTTTTAATAATGAAAGTTTATTGACAGAAAGCGATACAGCTCATTCAAAGACACTTCACTTTACTTTAAGTAAATTCTCTCAGTAGGCTTAGGGCAGCTTAGTTAGTCAGTATATATATAAACTAGTTTTCGTCAAAAACTAGCCGATGTTTCCAAACCCCTAACCACTTCATATACTGGTACTTAAAACGGACCTCAGTGTCATGTTACCTCGCTTAATTGACAAATCTTTATGGAAATTTTCATGACGGCGCAGGTGTCCCTTGACTTGCTTTTAAAATACGGTAGCCTAATTTGAATTTCTTACATTTACAATAGACCAATTTCGATATATTAAAATTCAGCCTAACACAATAGACCGCAGCACGAGGCTCTGGGGAATAAACCCCACAAACTCTGTAGTTATTCTGTAGGTTTATTGTTTAAGGCTGAATTTTAATATCTCGAAATTGGTCTATTACGTGTCAAAATTTTCTGAGATCAATTACATTACATGGATGGTAGATTTTAGTCGTTTAGATGTCGTATTGATTTCCGAAACCTGGCCAACAGAGTTGGGATTTCAGATTACTAATTAAATACAAGCTTATTACAAAATGTCTTTCCTTGGACTGCGCAATTTTGATATTTGAAATAAAGGCAAACGAATTATGCGTTGCAGGCCATCTTAGTTTAAAATGAATCCATTTGTTGGGAAAAATTCTCTTGATTCAGTCAATCTGAGTTAATTCTTCGTTTCCTTGGTCAGTGGACATAAGACTGTCCATTTCTCTCCCTTCTTTTGGAAGGTCTCCAGTGGACGCTAAAGGCTTGATACAAGTGGATATTTTCACCCTTATGCACACGCTTACTAAAACAAGACTGCAGATGGACATCGCGAGTAGGCCTAACACAAGCCACGAAAAAATAACAACGACGATAGCTCGATTCGAGTCTGTGTCTTTCCAAGGATGGGAACCATACAGCACATGAGCTATTTGAATAAACCAAGTGCCAAGCAACAAGACCAGAAATGTGCGCGTGAGAAAGAGCACGAAACTCTTGCGTTGCCATGCCTCAAGGAGAAAAACAACAGCGATTGAAAATGCCACAGTGTAGAGTACAGTGTGCAACTTTTGATCGAGTTCAGAACGCCCTTCGATGTGAAAATAAAAAAGCTCTCCGACTAGAAAGAATGACAGTGATGCTAAAACATGATCGGTAGCTGCGGGTAAGAATAATATGTTGTAGAAGCGCAGAATTTCCACCACAGCAGTCAACAGGAAAATACTAAACATTGTTGCGTGACTGAAGTTATTCAAATGCGAAAAGTGCCCAGCGTCGTTTACGAGACTCCATTCGCCTTTAGTTAGCTCTGCAATGATACCAACTGCAGCTGCTATCACTTTCAAGCAAGGTTCGACGGGAAATCGTTTCAGGCACAGTACAGGAACTCTACACCATGTCGTAGTTTCAAACTCAATTTCGAAGACGCAGTTCTTTGTTCTTCGAGTGAGGAATCTTTGCCTCAAAAACCTTGCTTGAGCTTGGGCAATTATAGCAACGATATTAAACCACCACCATAGGCCAAAAACGATGAAGAAAGATCCTGGAAGAACATGGCCTGGGTAAGACCCCATGGCTTTGTTTTGACTTACCAGTATATTCGCGTGGAATGTGCAATGATTACGTTCAAAATTGTCGATGCGTTAGCAACGTTGTGTTTTATGCATCATCGGACATATGATCAGGTGACTGTCATCTCAGGAACATTTGCTCAGAATTAGGCAAACACATTTTAATCTGTCTGATGCAGTCCTATTGACTTGCTCATACGCCACTTACTTGCTGGAGCGAGTATAAATAGAGCTTGCTTGTAGACTAGCCGCCGCCGGACGCCCGCCCCAAGAGGGTTCCTCCTTTTAGACTTTGTTGTTTTTCTTTGCCGATCAACTGAGCTCACAGGAGTCACCGAGAAACTTGCCCTTGTAATGAGGGGTTGGCATTGCTTTATAGTGGTAAAAAGCGTTTAACAAAATAACTTCTGTTTATTGAGCGTCCATTGCGATTTAAGTAAACTCGATGATACTAAAATTTGAGCACCAGTAAAAAACCCTTTAAAACACGTTTACATATACAGGCAAAAACTAACGATAGACAAATCCGACGTTTCGGCGACATCTTGGCGCCATTGTCAAGGGAAACTAATTAAATATGCGATTTCAAGAGTAACTAAGAGTTCAGATTTTCTAATTTGCATAAGTTAGACAAAGACTTTAGCGCGAACTGAGTCTGATTGTACATTTAAACACGGTCGTAATTGTTTAATGAGTAACATCTCATTAATGAGACAATCAAACTTGTTGTGGCATTTTTTCAACACGCTAAAACAATTGCGAAGGTCATCCGGAATCCTGCCTGCGTGTCTACTATCATAGTGATTGCGTACTGACGAGGTCTTGCTTCTATGTCCATCAACGCGTACGAACAGATGGTCACGGGTGTAACCGACATAACCGGCATCGCACTGGTCACACTTGAAGTTATACACAACGCATTGTTGATCAATGAACTGAGGCTTAGGTTCGCTTGTTGGGAACTCCTGGGCAATCTTGCGGCTCGTAAACACCGGTTGAACACTGGTCTGCAGCTTCACACTGAGATCTTTCAACACTTTAGTTTCAATACGAGGCGCTCTGTTTAGGAGTTGAGTACCGAGCTGCCCCTTGGTGGCCTTATTGATCTTTTGGGTGTGGCCACCAAGGGGCAGCTTTTCCAATTTAATGGATCCCTGTATGAACAGATCGA